GCGGATTTGCCACCAAACATAGTGGGCTTAAAACATGATTTTCCACTTGTAGACACCTCATTTTTGACCACCCTTAAGGCTTGGGCGCCACTGATCATTTACTTGGTGATGAAATTTATGCAGTGTAAAGGTTCAATTTCTTCAGCAAGAGGAGAGTCAAATCCCAACCTTATATCCTTGTTTTGGACCAAAATCATTTTGACTAAAAATATTTTAGACTTTAAAACCCTCTCTTTGAAAATATTTGTGAAAAATGATTCTACGATGTTCCGAGGCTCGCATTTTGTTAAATGTTGCGCTTTTCGGTAAACCGAGCAAGGATAAAGTGAAAATGAATGAAACATAGGTGAACTCTTTCAAAATTATTTAAAAACACCTTATTTAGGGGTTTGGAGTTGAAGAAAAGATGAGAGGAGAGAAGAAAACTAGCTAAGAAGAAGTTCGACATGAATCCGAGTAGGATCGAAACTGAGCAGTCTTCACTAAAAGAGTCATATCTTTTTGCAAAACTGGAATTTTGATGTGAGGCTACCACCATTGGAAAGAAGACTTCCAGGGCTTCCATTTAGGTTCAGTAATGACCTATAAAGGATTCCAGATGAGGGAGGTATTCCTATTTGAAATTGGGCCCCAAAAGTAGATTTTTCTGGCCAACCAGAGGTAGAAGTTTCTGACCATGAATGGGATTTTTTGGCCATGTGCCGGCCATGAATGGCCTATGCTGGTCCCCTGCCATCCAAGGGTAATTCTTACTGACCAACAATGTGCAAGTGCCGGCCATCAATGATGGCTTGCCGGCCATTGATGCAGAAAGTCAGATTTTTGCAGATATTTGTTCTCCAGCGGTTACAGCTATCCCTCTTGGGATATTTTTGACCTGAAGCCTCATTCTTCTATATATAGAGAGCCTTCTCTATGGTTTTGAAGGTTATAACAACATAGGAAGAAGTTTGGGAGCCTCTCTCTCTATAATCCTCTCTCTAGATTTCTCTCTCCCTTGAGCATTTGTGCTTAGAAGCTTGCATACTTCAAACTTTTGCCAATCAACCCTTAACAAGAGTAGTTAATCTTTGGGCTTAGGTTGCTTGAAGCTCTCTTGGAGCTTCCTTGAAGCTCTTGAAGGTCATTTTGCATGGTTTTCTTGCCTAGAATTGGGTTGTGCTTCAGGAGGTACAACTCTCTCCCTTTAAGCTTGTTTTTCATACTTGCTTTGCCATCTTTTTGGACTGTTTTTAGGCTGGTTTTGGCATGTAAAAAGTTATTTTTTTCAGTCCTAAAAATGGTGGTTTGAGCCTTTGTGAGTTAGGGGGTTGTCCCCCCTTTTGGATCTATGGCTTGTGAAGCTTTTTGTGCCATCTTTCATCACCTTTCAAACCAACTCTTTTGGCCTTTTTACCACTGAAACTCATAGGTTTTTTAGTGACAAAAACCATGTTTTGAGGTCCAAAATAGGAGAGGTTGGCCTCCTCTCCTTGTGTCTTGTTTGCATAAGTAAATAGCCTAACATGTGAGCAGATTTTTCTAGCATTTTATGACTTGATCTCAACATGTTTTTGCTACTTTTTTTACCTTCTTTAGCTCTTTTTTGAGCTGGTTTAGTCACTTGAGGCTTGCTTTGTATGCTTGTAGTGCAATGGTGCTTAATAGTCTAGTTTGTGCTATGTGTTAGCCTTTCATTCTAGCCCTTTTTGGACTTCTTCAAGCATGTTTTTGGCTCTATTTTGACATATTACAACTCTTTTTTTGGTTGGTTGGAGCACTTGTTGCTTGTTGCTTGCTTCTTGCACTTGTAGTGTAATTATGCTTACTAGCCTAGCATGCCTTATGAGTTAGCCTATCATTCTAGCTTGTGTTAGCTTCACTCTAGCACATTTTTGCTAATGTTTTGACATGATTTAACTCTATTTTGAGTGGTCTTGGTCGTATGACCTATGTTTTGTATAACTATAGTGCAAATGCCTTTACTAGCTTTGTGATTTAAGGCCTCTAACATGTTGTGCATGTGATGATTGCATGTTGTAGCATCATTTAGTATGTGATTTCAGTGTGTATAGCTTTGTCACACTCTCACATACTTCACTCTTTCATAGAGTTGTGCTTTCAGCCTTGTTTATGAGCCAATACATGAGCATGTTTTTCTTGCATTTCATGCTACCATCTCAGCATATTCTAGCCTCTGTTTTGGCATGTTTGAGGTCTGTCTAGAGCTAGTTTGGCCATTTGTGCTTGATATTGTATGGTTCTAGTGTAAAGCTCTTTACTAGCTTTAATGCTTAAGTCTTTAAGCATGTTGTACATGAGTTGTTTGCATGTTATAGTCTTGTGTTTCATGCCATTTCAGCACTGAAATTCTACCACCTCCCTCATTTCTTCATTTTTCTATTTGTTTTGAGGATTGGTTAGTCTTGAGGTTGCGTTTAAGCTTGGGATTGAGGCTTGTGCTTAAATGGCTTTAACCTTCTTTTGAGGGTTCCTCCTAGTCAAAGGCATGGTCTCTCTCATGCCTTGCACTATTCTTTTGGTTGACCCTCTCTCATTAGAGGACTTTCACATTGGACTAAATCAATTAAAGGATGGTTTGGTAACTCAAAATGTGTAAACAAGAATTGAATCAAGTAAAACATGCTAAGATAAGCATTGTTGTGTTGCATTGCATTGTGTTCAATCGGACGTTATATTGAACACAAGGTGGATTGGTCCATTTCATACTTAAAGTGATGAAAATGAGCCAATCTCCTTTGTCTCCATTGCCTTTGATCATCGATGATAAGGTAGCGGTCCTTAGAGCCTTGTTTATGTGCATTCATTGAATGTGTGCGAGTTGGATCTTTGGCCATCATGCATTAAAATGCTTGATTGATGGTTTTGGATCCAATAGTGCAACTCCTTTGATGTTTTGAGATAATAAGGAGTGGCACAGTACACATATACCCTTGGGAGACCCTCCATTCCCTTCTGGTTTGAGCTATGTTGCAAAATGGTGATGCAGCACACCAGTGGTCGGCAGTGCCTCACTGATGGGCGACCCTGCTTCATCATTGGCCGGCAGTGCACATCTTTGGCTGACAGGTGGCCAGTAGCAATATCCCATGGCCGGCAGGCCACTGGTGCATTCCTCAGCAGTGATTTGGTAAGGTAGAGCAGCAATTCTTGGGGCAACCTTGCAAACAGAGCCTCTCAAAAGCAAACCGGAAGGTGTTTCGGGGCAGCAACCAAATGCATGCATCTTTTATTTCCAAACCAAAGCTGAGGCAATGTAGTTTGTAGTTTAATGATTTACTTGTCAATTAGCATTGGTTTTGTAATTTAATTAATTAGTTTGCTAATTGATTAAGCGTTGTAATAATTAAGTAGCTTAGTTTAGCTATTTCTTTATTGTTTTGTAATAATTAGTAAGTAGTTTACTAGTTATTCGATCAATTTGTAATAATTAGTCTAATTAGTTTAATTAGATTAGTTAGTTAGCTTAGCTTAGATTAGCTTAGCTTATTCATTCGGACCCTCCTTCGCGAGGGCGCAATGTTGTAATAAATGTGCGTACGTGCATGTCTTTCAACCCCACTTCTTTCTCTCTTTTATTTAACCGCTTTCGATGGTTAGTTTAGGGCACGTTTTGATTAGCATACCTTATGCTTTGCATGCGTGCATCATTTATTTGTCTTACATGCATCGTGCTCGGCGCATCATTCAAACTTCATTGTATTTCAATACTTATTTGAATACGTGTTTCGAAGCATGTTATCAAATTGTTGCATTCATATGCCATCTTAGATAGCCGAGCCTATTTAGTTGCATTATTACATGTGTTTCATTATGCATCTCGTATAGTTAGGATCATGCATTGTTTCTAACTAGCTTTTGTTTTGCCTTGGAGTACACTGTAAGTTTTACGCTTTAGCATACTTGCATGAGTGTGAGTGTTGCCATGTTTCGCATGCTTGCCATGAGGCTATTTGCTTAAATCCTTAACTGCATGAATGCCTGTGGATGAAGGCTTTGTTACTTGAATTGGAATAATTCGATGATTGTGAGTTTTGAGCCCACTTTGCGAAGTGGTAAAATCATGTTTTAAGCCCACCCGAGGGTGGCAAATCTGCGCTTTAGCCCACTTGCGAGTGGCAATTCCAAAACATTTTCCAAAACAAACATAAGTTGTTTTGTTCCAATTCTTGCAATTTAGTCTATACTTGTATGTTGTGCGCATCACGTACTAAAGTTAGCTAATAGTCGGATAACAACACATGTGTTTATAAAACAACATATCATGTTAGTAGATGCCGATCTTTGATCGGGCGAGCGGGGGTGCTCATTTCAGGACCTTCCCCTCTCATACCCAAGTTCCCGAGCCGAGGCAACTTTGGTGATGACGGACACGTGGCCTTTAGCACGAGTCAGGATTTCTTAAATTTCCCAAAAATAAAATATTTAGGTGGCGACTCTGTAATCTGGCAAAATAGTCCATGTTTGGCGCTTTTGATTCAAAATTGATTTTCCAAAATTAATTGCCAGATTTGGACTCTTTGGTGTTTATCAATTTCACATTGCACTTTGTGAGACTAGATTCAGAACCGTGACAGGAGTCCGAACTAGGGGACCAATTCGCGCCTCTCCGAAAGGGGGGCAAGCGAAGAAAGTTGAGTTTACATATATCCACCTGCCTGTATTTGTAGTGAGTTCCTAAGAGATCAACTGAGACGGTGGAAACTAGAGTTCGAATGTCCGAGGTCTAGAACGCAAAGGTTTGGGATTTCCAAGACTAAAGTCTGGTTTAAATACCCAGGGGTGTATCATTGGCTTGACATCCGTATGGCAGTCCTATAGGTTGAGGTAGCTTGTATGTGCCTCAATTCTGGATACTAAACCAACCTAGTGTGTCACCCTACTAGAGAATAGGGAAAGTTGCGAACATAATCAGGAAGAAAAGTAGTACCTATGGTTTGGAAGCGCAAGATGCAGAAAAAAAAAAAAAAAAAAAAAAAACCCCCCCGGGGGGGGGGGGGGGGGGGGACATATTTAGAATGCAGAAAGCAATTATGAAGTTTTCCATTTCTTATTCATCCTAATGTCCAACTTACTTTGATTCACTCCAGGGAGAGAAACACGAAAAACATATGCATCCTCAGATTCAGCCATGTCCAATGACCCTACAATTGGCCCTATTTTTCCCATTGCAGCACTTCCTGTTAAGCCAACTCCCCTATTGGTAGCAGCTAAAATGTTATTCCACTGTTCCTCAGTTGGGCGAGAAGGCAAGAACACCAGAGCAGGCTCATTACTTGCCATAGGATCGCTTTCCATCTCTGTTGGGGATAAATCATCATCACTAGATATTACATGTGGACCTGTATATGGCATGCTATTGAGAGGTGCCACTGAAAGAACCGGTTGTTGAGGATCCACAAATAGCACGCCATCACGGTTTTTTGTGTCGCCGCCATGTATATGGGACCTATAGCATTTGTTGCAAACAATAACATATAAGAATTTATGTGTTGGTAAACAATATATTATGGAAGGCTATTTTGGACTTTAATGAATATTTCATACTTCACGACATATTTTTAAAGGAAAATGCTATGCTATTCACACAAAACTTGTCACTAGAATGATGTGTCACACTGTCAGTGATATTTTTGCATTTAAATGTAATTTAAATGGGCACTTTGTTTTAAAATGATAAATTCCAATGCAATCACATCATTCTTTATATAAATATATATATTTTGTTGCATATCACTGCTCATTTTCAAATTCATACAACAAAGTCAATGCTCACTTGTGCCACGATACCATAGAGGCAGGAAAATTTTATCTCTGAGAAATTTCAAGCATAAATTTCCAGCCATAACACAAGTAACCAAACACATACTTAAAAGATAGGGCAAGATGTTAGAAATAAATCTTGACATCTAGACCACAAGGACCTAAAAAAATTGATGCCTGTCTTTTGATGAACTTTACAGTGTGTCAAATTGCACCCATTGAAAGGTTCTTTTTTCAATTCTAGAAAGATACGCTTTGAAAAAGAAGGGTTCAAAAGACACAGGAAGGGGCTCCATTGAAATTGAATTTTACACAAGCCAAAAAGAAGCAGCCTGAAAGGAGTATAAGAAAAAAATATATATTTCAGCAATAACCATTAAACCAAAAAGAAAGATAAAGAAAAAGCTAATGACTAGGTTCTAGTAGAGGTGAGTCCAACTCGTTCAAGGTTGGCAAGACAATGTGAGAAATATTATAAAGTGGCATTCCTTAACACAACAATGGCAAGAAGCTTGCATGATCACACACTTCGGATGTCATTCAACAAATCCATGCCATTTGACATACCCCACCACCCAAATGCACTCATATTTACACTTCAAGATCCTCCTCCAATACCTCTCCTTTTCCTAAACAAATCTCTACAACCACTTTCCCAACAAGGCATGGTTAAAGATAGCCAACCTGCAAACCCCAAAACTAGTGTCCCAATCACAAAATGGTCCCCACCCCTCCGCAAAGAAATCATGTTGCAACTTCTCCAAATGTTTCCCAACCAAGACCAAAATTGTGAACATTGACATAAAATAAGTGGGAAGACTAGACAAAGTACTCTTTTCATCAATGATAGCCTGGCATCTCTTTATAAATTTACATGCACAATTATTTACACTAAGAAACCAACTTTTAGTTAAAATTCTCCAAACAATTACACAATCAAAAGATAAAAAATAAAATATCACACAATTACCAACATCTAAGGTAATACATGAAAACAATTCAACAAAATGATGGGCCTATATGGTTGTCAGAAAACAACGGGCCTATGTCAATAGAAGAAAATCACAAAACAACCAATCACTATATATGTAAATAAGGAATAAAAATAGAAAACATCAAATTACAAGAGTGACCGAATACTTTCTCAGCACCTATCAATCAAGTATGAAAGACATTTAGCTAAATTGGTTGAGGGCCTATTTTGTTGTCCCAAAAGAGTGAACTCAGACATTTTAAACCTGGATCATTCAAATTAGATAATTTTAAGTGCTCTTTTAAAGTGAGACGCCTAAAAAATCTATAAATTTTTTTGCTTTGTGAAAATTTTGTTCATTCATTGAAAACATAGAATTACCTAGCCTACAATTGAGAGATTAAAAATCTATTGTTCTACACCTACACAAATTTGGAATTAATGAATTTTCTTAATCCATAGATTCTAAATTAGTAAAAACAAGATGAACTAATTCAATATGTGCAACCAAGCAGTCCCTAAGTACATATATGTAAACAAAAGTTACCTTTTATCAAAATTTTATGGCTCTGCCCCGACCATTCACATTTAAAGCAAGATGTACATCCACACATATAAACATATATATGTCTATAAAGATAATGCACTTCAATATAGATGGAATGTTTTTTGAATCATAACAATATTTTACTTTATGGAGATACAAACATAAGTATTCACCCAAAAAAGATATAACCGTAAGTTTCATAAGCATAGTGAACTAGCAGATCAATACAAATGTATGATTATCATTATGACATATTGACATGTATGTATACAAGCACAAAGAAGGGATTTAGCGGCCTGAGTACCTGAATGGAGACGCCATCTCAGAGTTGCCAGAGAAGTTTGGTAATCGATCAGTGGTGAACGCCGAGGTTGAGGCCTGAATATGGTACGGAAGTTAAACAGTCCACCTGAGAGGTTCTTTAAATTGAGAAAATCTAGGTGCTCTGTATATGTGTATGTACATATTTATATAATATGGCTTTGTAAATACAGACAATGAGATTTGTGAGCAGTAGGTAAATGATCAGGTGCCTTTGGAACACTGTACTCATGCTAGCTAATAGCATTGAATCAATTTTTTTGAATTGTCTTTGACTAGTGTTAAGATAAGAGTGGTGCAAATATGAGTATGGAACCTTAACTTTATTTTTCTGTCCCGGAAAACCTGATTTATGCTCCGGTGGATGGCTCCAAAACAGAAATATAATGTCTATATTTTTCTTCTAGTCGTGCAAATAACAGATGGGACTTAAGGCTTGGTTTGGTTTATGCAAATAACAGTTTTTGGACAATCTTTGTCAAAGAGATTTTAACTTTATTAAGATAATATGTGCTTATAAAGTAAATTAACCTACAACAAAATTAGTATTTTCTTTGACATTAATTGTGATTAGATTACAGATGAACCTATGCCCTCCAATCCACCTCTTCCAAGTAAACTCTTTTTTGATGTAAGCTGGCTATACATGGTAGAGTGGTTGCCAAGCATATGGACTTCTTCTAAAATGAACAAAGCCCACGAGAAACGAGCTAAAATGTTTAAATCGTAAGCTACGAGGCATGGTGTGAATTTCCTAAACGAGGGATGGTGCTGCGAATGGATGCGCAACAGGTCTACTGCTGACATAGCCTGCTGCTACCCCTAGCTTAATCTGACTGAGGTGAGCCACAGCATGGCTCGGCAGTCTGGCATTCAGGTGATTGGCTTGACACACTGCGTATTTTACTTCCCGTTCTAGTTCAGACGTTAGTTTGGGCAAGATTAGATCCACCTGGAGAAAGGGGTAGAGTACCAGGTCTCATCCCCCGTCCGAGGTTCACATTTGGCCAGGTACCTCACTGCTTGGAGGACGAGAGAACTTCTGGCCCCTGCCCCTAGTTTCAGTTGCGCCCTTTTTGGTGAGTGTTTGGCTTGGCTCGAGGATGAGGCACAAATCGGGCCCACTTTGGCTTCAGAAACTTCTACAAGCACGAGCAGGGGACGCAGGAGCACCTGACTCATCTATGCCCCTAGTTTATTGCTTTAATCTTTCTTTTCAAGCTTCTTGAATATAATAAAAGAGACTTTGATTTGTATCGAGAGTTGGAGAACTTTGTATTGAAATCAATGAAATTAAAGTTGTGAGCACTGAAGATTTTCCTTTTGGTCCAAAAATGGTCTAAGTTGTAAAAGGTAAAATTTGAACAAAAATCAACTTTTTTTAAACTTTCCAAAACCATTTTCGAAAAAGATCACCACTTGACACGCACGGAATCAATCCTCAAGGTGTATAACCCCGAATCAAAAGATCACGAATTACCCGTTGTTTGAGCAGCACTGCTCAGCATTGTAACCAGCTCTTCTCTCAGAGTAAAGATCACAATCAAACCCTCAAGTAAAGAACGGACAAGGACGACCTGATCAGACACATGGACAGGATAGTTGATTTAGAGGTGTTTACGGCTGGACTTCAGAATGAAGTTGCGTACGTATCCCGAAGATGGGAATCAAGCCTTACGTAGTTCAGTTCGGGTTCACTCGAGTATTAACTCTCTCTTTTTGTGCTGTAAATTTTGCCAAGGCCGCCCTTTAGGGTTTTCAACCTTGCGAGCTTAGTTTTTCTTTATTTCTAATTTTTTGTGCTCTAACTTTTGCCTAGGTTGCCCTTTCAGGTTTTCGGCCTAGCGAGCCTCTCAGGGATAGTATCTCTTCAACTTGTCGATGTTAATCAGTTGGCAAAATTCTAGGCCATCCAGGTCTATAAGAATAACTGCTCCACCCGACCAGATAATTTTGATGATGTAAGGACCAGCCCAATTGGGTTTGAACTTGGCCCTAGGGTCATGGATGGGAGCTCGGTTGTCTAGCAGCACTAAATTCCCCTCTTTGAGATTCCGACACTTAACCTTCTTGTTAAAAGCCCTAGCAATCCTACATTGATAACTATGAACATGGTACAATGCTTTTAGCCTTCTCTCATCAAACAACATCAGTTCTTCAATCCTATTCTATTGCCAGTCTGCCTCTATTGTCTGACACTCAGCCATGACTCGCAGCGACGAGACTTCTATTTCAATTAGCAGAATAGCTTCCATCTTATAGACAAGTGAGTAAGGAGTTGCCCCTATAGATGTCCGGATTAAAGTTCTGTAGCCCCAGAGTGAAAATGACAATTTATCTGGCCAGTCCCTATAGGTCTCAACCATCTTCTACAGAATATACTTGATGTTCTTCTTGGCGGCCTCAACAGCTCCGTTGGTTTATGGCCTATATGTAGATGACTTATGGAAAGCCACATTGCATTTCTCCAACAAGTCTATCACCTCTTTCTTGAAATGGGAATCATCATCCGAAATGATCTCATTTCGGACTCCATATCGGCAATTGATGTTGTTTCGGATGAACTTCGCCACATGCGCTGCTTTCAACACTTTGTAGGACTGAGCTTCCACCCACTTTGTAAAGTAGTCAACTGCCACCAGAATGTATTCATGCCCATTCGACCCTTTTGGTGTGACTGCCACAATGACGTTGATTCCTCAGACCGAGAAAGGCCATGGTAAAGTCATGTTGTACAGTATTGACAGCGGAATATTCATGTGATTTGCATGAATTTGGCATTTGTGACATCGCCGAACAAAACCAATACAATCCTCTTCCATGGTAGACCAGTAGTAACCTTACCTGAGAATCTTCTAGGCTAACATCACTCCGTTCATGTGCGCTCCACACTCTCCTCCATGGATGGCCTCCATCAAGCACTTTGATTCCTTCTCTTCAACACACAACTTGTGCATTCCCAGATGACCTTTCTTGTACAGTTTACCTCTGCAGATGATAAATTGAGCGGCCATCCACCGTATTGGCCTTTTGTCCTTAGCATTTGCCCCTAGTGGATAAACCTTATTTTCCATGAACTTCCAGATATCATAGTACCAAGGGTTTTAATCTTGCGCTTCATCTATTGCAGCGATAGTTTCATAGGTCGGCGTGTATCTCTACTCAATGATGATCGAACAAACCTAGATTCCAAGAGGGATGTCTATCATAGAAGATACAGTTGATAAGGTGTCAGCGAACCTATTGTTCTCCCAAAGTAGATGTGTGAAAGTAAACTTTTCAAACCTAGGAATCAGAACGTCCAAGATCTGATGATAAACCTTCATCTTTGCTTCTTTGACCTTCCAGTCTCCGTTTACTTGAGACACAACTAGGTTTGAGTACCTGATAACATCCAACCTTTTTGCCCCTGGTTCTAGGGCAGCTACCAAACCAGCGATACACGCCTCATATTCTGCGTCGTTACTGGACACCTTGAACCGGAGTTTGAAGGCTAAAGGTATATGGGAATTTTTGGGTGTTATCAGCAACACACCTATCTCATAACCACATTGATTGGATGCTCTATCAAAGTACATTGTCCAAGTCTCCTCCTCGACTTGTGGAATGGCTTTATCTGGGAATAGGTATTCTACCGCTTCATCCTCTTCTAATGGGTGATCTGCCAGGAACTTTGCCACAGCTCTCTCATCGACTACCTTACAAGTGATATACTTCAGATCAAATTCGGAGAGAAGAAGCAACCAACGGGCTAGCCTACTCGTAAGCACTGGTTTCTCAAAAAGATATTTGATGGGATCTAATCTTGAAACTAGAATTACGGAATGAGCTAACAAGTAGTGCCTCAACTTCCTGGTAGCCCATACCAAGGCTTGGCAAGCTTTCTCCAATGGAGTGTAGTGAGTCTTGTAATCCAACATTTTCTTGCTCAAATAATAGATGGCTCTCTCCACCTTATCCTTAGATTCCTGAGCAAGCATGCATCCCATTGTTGTGTCCGTGACCGATAGATACAAAAGCAAAGGCTTCCCCGACTCTGACAGTGACAACACAGGTGGATTCTAAAGACATTATTTAATCTGCTCAAAAGCGAATTGCCATCGATCATCCCATCGGAATTTCATTCCTTGCTTCAGGAGACTAAAAAGTGGTTCACAAGTCAAGGTTAATTTAAAAATAAACCGTCTTATGAATTGCACTTTACCCAGAAAGCTTCGGACCTCCTTTTCAATCCTTGGAGGTGGCATTTCTAGGATGGCCATGATTTTGGAAGGATCTACCTCGATGATCCTCTGTGTGATCAAGAAACCCAGTATTTTCCCTGCTGTCACGCCGAAAGTACATTTCTGCGGATTCAACCTCAGTCTGTATTCTCTGATCCTTTGAAAGAGTTTCTTCAAGGCGGTGTAGTGCCCCTCCCTTTCTTTGGATTTGACAATCATGTCGTCCACGTACACCTTGACCTATTTATGGATCATATCATGCAGAATAATGGTTACAGCCCATTGATAGGTAGGCCTGGCATTCTTGAATCCAAACGGCATCACCCGATAGCAGTAGGCTCTCTACAGTATAGTGAAAGAGATTTTCTCTCTGCCCTCAGGCGCCATCAGAATCTAGTTGAGAGGGTGATTTATGATCCGGTGTTGGGCCGAGGTATCGACCGATTATTCATCTGCTTTATGCAGATATTTTTGTGCCAGCTTGCACAACTTTGCATGACAATTAACCCTCCATTTCCGTGGTATGGGGGAGGAATTTACCTTGATTACAGTGTCATATCGGATCCAATTGCAGCTGTGGTCTAACTTCC